CCGACTCATATGTTTAAATTTCCTATAGTTGGCAATAGTAAAATGGCAGACATGAAGTTGAAGTGACATTGGTGCTACTTAGCATAAGGCTCGAGACTAATGTATGACAGAATACCCTTCTAAAAATATTTAACTTTCATGAAGCTAATTTTTACCCAATGTAAAGTCATACAAACACATTCATTTAGCTTTCAATTTGGCAGTGACAATTGATCAGCCACTGGGGCTATGAACACGAAATGTGGTATGCATATAGATTGTAAATATATATGTCTGCTGTATGAACTACATATGAAAGTGTTATTTATGAAACTACAATTATATGGTAACTGGACAAATTTAATATAGTCAAAATCTGTACAAATTACTGTAATAAGTCTTTTCCAACAATAATGCAAATAATGACATCAGCATGCTCTATATAATATATTTACAACTTCAAGCAGTACAAAATACTAGCTCCAGTAGGATTTAATCCTATGTCTATTTGCTCATAAGCTCAACATTCTATACCAAGAGCTAAATTGTGTTTTAGTTCAGTTTATAAACTTACAACACCTTAATAAGTATTAAAAACACAAGATTTGTAGGACTGGAAATTACTCAGAATTGCTAAAGTTACACAGCAACGACAGGACTGGCTCTCATTTTTACTGAATATGATAAATATATATAAAAGTTAATTTTATTTAACAGACTTACATAGGTAGTACCGAAAGTCATGAGCAACTTTTTTTTTAATGCAACCTGGGAATAGCAGATGAAAGAGAGTATGGTGGTAGGTGGAACCAGCTGTTGTGTTAACCTTGAGTGTCTTGTGACGTCAATAGCTTGCATCACGTGACCAGTATCACTCCTAACAAAATGGCTGACAACCATGTCATTTCGCCAGCGTGCTGTCATCGAATTTCTTGTGTAAGAGGAAATCCCTGCTGCAGAAATTTACCACAGACTTCAGCGTGCTTATGGAAGTGTGTGCATGGGTGCGTGCATCAAAAATGAACCTCAGAGCAGTCGTCCTCGAACAGCCTCAACTGTACGCAACAAGGAAAGAGTGGATGAGATCATTCAAGATGACAGGCGTGTGACTGTGGACACAATAGCCTGAAAACTTGGGATAGGGCACAGTGCAGTACAGGAGATAATTGAAAGTTTGGGCTATAGGAAAGTTTGTGCTCGTTGGGTCCTGCGGTTATTGACCAAAGACCACAAAGGTCAGCGAAAAGCATCACCTCAGAACTGCTGCAGAGATATCGACACGAAGGCGGCGATTTTTTGCTCTGTATTGTGACAGGTGACGAAAGCTGGTTTCACCATTTCGAGCCTGAAAGGAAACAGCAGAGTATGGAATGGCACCATTTGCATTCTCCATCAAAAAAGAACGCAAAGACAGTGCCATCGGCTGCAAAGGTGATGGGCACATTCTTCTGGGATGCAGGGGGGTTTATTCTGGCCGAATTCCTGGAACCTGGGCAAACCATCAATGCTGCTCATTATGTCCAGATGCTGCACAAGCTCCGTTGTGCATTGCACGATAAACGTCCGGGACGAAACACCATCCTGCATGACAACGCTCGCCCCCACACCGCTCGCCTCACATTGGAAGAAATTGCGAAGATGGGATGGGAAGTTCTTCCACACCCCTCCTATAGCCCTGATCTGGTACAACTCCAACTACCATCTTTTCGGATTTGTGAAGGATCAGCTGCGTGGACAACGTTTTGAGACAAGGGAGGCAATTCAGAAAGCAGTGCGTCAGTGTCTTCAGATGGCTGGAATGGAATTTTACAGAAGGGGAATTTTCAAACTCCCAGAATTCTGGGAGAAATGTATACAAAGAAGTGGCGATTATGTGGAAAAATAAAGAAAGGTCTGTAGATTGAGGTGGTGTATTTGGTTTGTCAATAATAAAGCTTGTTACTTTACAAAAAATTGTTGCTCATGACTTTCAGTACAACCCTCGTATATAAGAGGCATGCAGTAGCGTAGTTGGTTGAAGCACTATGCTACAAGCCAGAAGGTTACCACTTTGATTCTCAGTGAGGTCACTGGATTTTTCAGTTGACCTTCCAGCCACATTATGGCCATGGGGTCGACTCAGCCTCCAACAGAAATGAGTATCATGAATCTTCCTGGGGGTAAAGGGCTCTTGGCGCATAAGACTGACAACCTCACATCCATGTGTGGCATGACTGTCTAGAAATTGTGGGAGCCTGGACGTTTCATAACCCTATGGACCTCATGACCTATTACAGGGATAGCTTTATCTTTTCTCCCTTTAACTGATTTATATAATTATTAAATTATCATATAATACATTTAATTAGTAATCCAAAGTTAAGTTTCCTGACTCCAGTGATAAACGACTATCAACCAACTGTAACGTGTTTACGTTACTGAAGACGCCGTAGAGATGGTTAATTGGTTTATTTAACAATCTACAACTAACGGCTACAATTAATTATCACACAGTTGCGGGGTTTCACACTTTATAACAACATGTTACACAACCAACCACTCAAGAAACAACAACATATACAAACCAACCAACCCACCCTTAAACGAAGGAAAAAATGGCTACACCTTAAAACAAGCACTTGTATTTATTACACGTACCACCTTCTTTTACATTTAGAATATCTGTCTTTTGCCCACACCATATATTTGTTTTTCATATGATTCTTAGAATAAACAACAATGATTTCCCTGAACAAAGAATGACTGGTTAAGTTAAATTCAAACAAGTTCTGATGATGGTGTATAACACTCAGGATTACTGGGTTTTTGGACTTTGTCCATCATCCAGTATTCTAAAGAACACAATGTTTTTAAAACTGGATCTGTTTCTGTCCTCAGGTGAGGTGGTGGGAGGCACGTACTCCTTTGTGTTTGTTAGGGAAAGCTAACCTCAATTACTAGATGATGGGTGATATCCATTAGAAATAGCTATCCTAAATCACTGGATTTTTTAGTATTATGTGAATGATATTCAGGTTTCATGGGGCTAAAAGTCAGTTTCACTGGATCCTTATAACATAATATTGAACATCCATTATCTTTTTGCCCTCTCAAATCTTATAGTAGTATACCCTTGTCAGTAGGTAATACTGTAGTTGCCATTTATATGAAATAGTTGCTCTAGTGAAGAAGGTATATCTGTATTTTGGTCAGTGACATTTTGTTCTTTAGTACAGGTCATACCCCATCAAAACCTACAGTGTTTTTCCATGTAATATTTGTGTTCAGTACATTTTCACCATAATTTTAAATACTGCAGAGGCATATTAATCCTTAAAGAAAACCTCAGGCTATAATATGGCTCACATAGGTAGAAATATGAGATATGTTATTATTGTATGATATGTTGCTGACTCTTGTGATTTGGACCAGATGAATAAAAGATGCTCTGTAAGTTCCCTCCAACACACTCATTCAAGGCTAAATCAATCACTGAGTGTATAAACATGTGGGTCATATCCATTTAATAAGAAGTGCAACATAAATGAGTTGGCAGCCAATACGCTCTCCTCTACCAAACAAACATGTGTGACGACTTCATGTGAATGAATATCTGATGTAAGTTCACATAGATTTCTATTATTCACAAATACATTCTACAGGATATACTAACCTCACAAAACAGCACGGTAATCTAGGTTGTTGCATGGGTGTGTGTAAATATTTCAGGGAAAGACAGTAAAGAAGAGTGGATCTTAAGCACAATAAAATATGTAATTAAATAAAGGCAGCTGAAAAAAGTAGAACATGTGATATGTGCAAAATAAGAAATGCATACACAATTGTGGATTGAAAATATCAAGGAAACAGACAACTTTGGAGTACAATGCAAAATGTTCTGTCTCTGCAAAAGGTGTTTGTAATGACAATATGCACTTTTGGATTCTCTAAGAAGGAATTCCTTGAAGAGTGGCATTTCTATAAGTCTGTGAGTGTAAACTAGGTACCAAGGATTGAATAAGAATGAAACATGTGGAAGGAAACTGAATCCAAAATTTGTATAAAGTTCAGCAACATACTATTCAAAATTAACTTAAGTTTTAGCATGCTGCAATGTTGAAAGACTTCACGCCTGTGTGTGTGTGTGCACACGCACATGCTCGTACATGTGCATCAGAGAATTAAAATAATGGGTAATTTGGATCAAGAAACATACTAGCCTTAGCTAAGATATAACCTAGACAATCCGTTACAAGGCAATGCACAGTGATGAATTACATAAAAAAAGGGCATTCATATTTATAATGTAAATTATAATTCAGTTTTGCTTGTCTTTTTAATGGTAAGATGTTTGTAATAGTAATTGCTGATTTTATAGCATGGGGACTATATATATATATATATATTCTTTCATTAACCACTTTTAATCCTGTGAATGAATAGCACTGGTCTCTGCAGCCCTGGTTTAAAATTTCAAAATATGCATGACAGTCCTCTCCAGTCCAGTCAGGAGAAACATGCTGTTTCTTGACATGTCTGTATTTGAATATTGTGCATGTTGAGGGTCTAATTTGGGTTCATTATTTCAATCTTGATTTTTATGGCATCTTGTGGGAAAGTACTTCAGTTTGCACTCAGAGATCACAATCAGGCAATAGAAATTGGTGTGGCGAAACACTTTGGATTTTCCAGGACAGTCCTATGTTCATGTTAATCATTCTAAAGTCCTGAAAAGGATACACAGGCCTAATAATTTTCCTAAGTTTAAAATTTAGACTAGTATTTCCATACACAAAAATCTGAAATGAAATTTCAGAAACTGTTTCTTTATGTATCAACTCATAATATAGTGTAAAAACATCTTGTTACTGTTGCTATTAAAAAACATGAAGTTTGCACACTCAATGATATCATGATCAACACTATAGTTTCATTACCATGGTTACTATATATGTCAAGTTTATGCACTCACTGTTGTCACAATCCCATTGTCATCATGATCTCACTGTTGTTGTCATCCCATTGTTGTCAATGGCCTCCTCACAAAGGAAATAATGAAGTAAGTTGGCCTGGATTTTAACCTATGCACAAACCAAAATTAACAGTTTTCTTATGGTCTTTTCTCCAAGAGGAACATCTTATGCCTCTATCAATTTTCTCTATGGCATTCCATTTTGGAGATACAGTTTGGGACTGACAGATAAATAGACTTAGAAATTTTACACACCCACACACCAGGTGACTGATAATCATGTCCAATTTAAAAAGTCTGGTACACATAATAAAAGGATGGAGGTCCGTCAAAAGTGTATGGAGGACAATAAAGAAAGGCAGAGGCCAGTCAGTTAAGGCTGAGAGCCAAAATGAACGCCGGCCAAGAAGAGGCGAGGGCCCCCATAATTCGAAACATGAAATGACGGCCGCAATAATTGCTATCCAATCTGCCCAGTCCAGATTTGAAGAATCTGTCAGCAGTCAGATGGAAGGCATCCTAGCATCTGTCCATCAGCGGACATGGAGCCTCCGTGAGGATCTTAGCAGTGAGATACAAAGAACAAAGACACTGGTAGATTTCACACGGTGGGAGTTCAAAACGCAGTTGGCAGAGTGTGGCACTGGAGCATCCCAAACACAGCGACATGTGTGTGTGTGTGTGTGTGTGTAGGACTAGAGTGCCCATGAGACCACGGTGGTCAGGGGTCGAATACAACGGGACTGAACGTCACGTCTGCCGCTGCTAGTGTTGTGGTGTCGACCACCATAGAAGAGACTGTCGGCGGGGATCGTCATTGGTCAAATAGTCCTTAGAAGATTCTGCCAGATTTTCCTGTTCTTGGCTATGTGTCGTGATTTGCACGATCCGGTTTTCACGTCTTTCAATTTTGCAACGGTATTCTTTTTTTACAGAGCAAGGTCGTCAGCCTTGAGTCCAACCCCAACCCAGAGGACTAGATCTATGTATTTATGTCCCCCAGTGACAGAATGGTCCAGTTATACCCCCAAGCAGCGGATTCCCTTTTCGTCCCTTATACGATCCGCAGGGGTACGGTGGAGGTGCCTCCATATCCATACCATCAGAGAAAAATCGACTGAGGCATAGAACCGAAGAAGGTGGATCCGGATCCACCACCTCCTCATTACACAATCTGCGAGTCGGAAAAGCACAGTCATCACAGCCTGAGCGCCGAAGGACGGACAGAAGATGAATCATGCCTTGTGAACGTCAATACTGGAGCATCAGTGACAGAGACCTGAGCACGCAGTATGTCCTGCAGATGGCATCAGCTGAGATCCTCCCGATCCTGAAGGAAGGTTTAGTAAAGCTTCCTCTTAGGTGGCGCCCACTGATGACTGAGGGGTTCGTCACCAATATCACCGGTTAGTTCATTCTGGGACTGGATGTCTTGCGCGCCCATGTTGCATCCGTGGATTTGAGGCGCCGTGTGCTGCAAATGGGCGATGATGAAGTGCCACTGTGGCGCTACGTCTATATGAAGAGAAGCAGCCATAATATTTTTATAGAACACCTTGGTTATCTGTATTGTTACACTCTAAGTAACAATTTGATCTACGCTTTAATGTTTTATTACATATTTCGCTCAAATGGCGTAAGTTATTCGGGGTACAAGATTTTGAAATTCGGTAACAGTTGTACAGCTGCACTGAACATGTATCGATTAATGGTGCCCAAGTTTTTAAAATGCAAAAATGAACTTATGAAGTTCCACTAACAAATAACGGCAATGTTACACGTACAACCGTAATTCCATTAAGCCCTTTCGCCGTTAGCTGGTAAATAATAACTCTATCAATCACACAGGACGGAGGCTAAAAAATCATATATACAATTCCTAGTGTGACGGACCAGGATGAACCAAGTTAAGTTAATCGTAAGAATTTGATACATACTGTAAGTTCCCACTATATGCGTGATAACAATCAAATAACTAATCTGTACTAGGGAAGTACTTTAACAGTTCTTTCATTGGGGTTTCGTTGGTTACGAAGTTCGGCGCCGTTACGTGGTCTGGGAACCACGTCAAGGTACGTACTTGGGATAGAAAGAAGATATGTTCCCGGTTGAGCAATGAGATTCTCTCCCCAAGGCTTAACAGGCCTTGCTCCGACGAAGAGGGTTTCTTGATGAAGAAGTCCTTGGACTACAACTCGATGTTAATAATGCACTCTTTATTCACAGCACTACACAGTTACAAGTAGCGGTTACTTGTAAATTTAATTGCACCTTTGTACACACTTCCTGATTTATAGCATTACGTCACAGTACAGCAGAAGATGTATGTCAGTCTCCCAGCCAGGTATCTTACTGGATACTCATGTCAACTCACTGATTACACGACTGACGGTCTAATAATGCTCGCCTTACTGGGGATCTGGGGATCAACCCCTTTAAATACTGAGAGATGACGTAACATCCAGAACTCTCTGTTACCAGATCATTCTCGAAGCTTTCCCTCTTGTTCTTTTATCGAGAATGTTCTGGAAGCTTCTTTTATCAGAACGGCAATGGGACGAGTAATCGTCAGCATACCACACTGTCTATTAGGGCGATGACACACGGAGCGGTTGTGCCGACTCGGCACAACCGCTCCGTGTGTCATCGCCCTTAAAGAATCTTCTAGTAGTTCCCGCTTATCTGCACATTGCTCAGTGCGATTTTTTAGAACAGTTAATGCAAGACTGGGCATAAGTTACATTTAGTATGAAACTGGTACTAAGTAACAAATGTTAACTTTTGAAATTTACGTCGGTAGGTAATGAACGGTTACAGTACCAAGTTCGAATTTCGGCCATTTTTCATTTATTATTAAGTTGTAATCGTTTCCTTCAGCCCTTCTATGCAAATAGAAAAAAACTAAGACCGATTGTTTCCAAATACTCAACTGTTCACAATCATTGTTACCTCGATTGGCGCTATATGATCTCTTCAGTTGAAGCATCATCATTAAATAACCTAAGAATTAATAAAAAATACCGCTACTGTAATACCATTCCCCCCAGAGGTGTCTCCACCTAGTCGTGGTGGCTTGCGTGACTCTGTAACCTAGAGACCTATGCTGGCAGTAGTTTAACTACCGGTAGAGTCACCCACGCCGGAAAGGTCAAAGGGTAGAGTCCAGACTAAGAGAGATACCCTCCAGGTTGGGGGTTGGGCATGAGGCTAACAACCTCATCCTGTAAAAAGAATTTTGTTCAAAAACCTAACAACCAGCCTCGGGTCATCATGCGTGTGTCCATTCCTATGGCAGCACGCATTGGTTGTGGAGACTGGTTGTAGGGAAGAGGAGGCTAGCGCTCACCCAGGGCTGTAGCGCCGAGTGGTAGGTAGATGCTGTAATACCATTAGGGTAGATTTGTCAGTGAACTGTACCAGCGAATACTTGTGCACTAGCAAAAATGTTTCTCAGTTGTAAGTGCTCACCACCTCGCACGGTGAAAGAAATGCGAGATTTATGTTAAGGAGGTATCTCGTTCAAATTCTGGCCGGGGTCCGAATTAATCAATGTTAACATAGGTCACTCCAGGTAAGAAAGAGCAATGACCCCACAGGAAAAAATCCGCCTTCCTAGAGAGGACATTTCCAGGAAGATGGATCGGCA